TATTAAAAAAAATTTTAAACAGGGGTTTTTTTTTTTTTTTTTTAAATTTTTTTTTTTTTTTTTTTTTTTTTTTTTTTTTTTTTTTTTTTTTTTTTTTTGTTCACGTATATCATTTTTGGTTGATCTCTATCCCTGTATGATCATATTAAAATATAACCAGACATTTGGAGTCCTTCTATTTTTTTTTGTAACATAACTTCTCCTTCTTTTATGTGTACTTTTCTTTGTATTTAGTTGCATTTTTATCTACCACAACAATCATAAAACGATATGCACAGCAACACTCTTTGCCAGTAGAAGCAGGGGAGGAGTCACGGTGTGTTTAAATGTTTATCGAATCAGGTTCTAACTATCCACCCATCGCCTTTAAAGAAATTCCTCCCCGTGAAGATTCTGCTTAATCGCATCTCTGTGTGTTTTACTATCTTCTGCTCGGTGTGCCGTTGTAGATAGGCAGTTGCTACTTTTCCGACCTGTACTGAAGCCAAATCCCAGGCACACAGTTGTTTTCTTGTAGGTTATGTACGTCACGGACTGATATGCACACTCTAGAAACCTCTTCACTCCCGAAAACCACAGAATGGACTCCTCTTTCCATGCCATGAATCCATTTCAAAAGACTTGATGGAAATCAATGCACATTTTTAAACCCTCTCCCCCATCAAAAAAAGTAATTCAGTAAAGAAAAAAGGTAAAAAAAATAAAAACAACAAAACAAACAAAAAACAAAAACATCCTTCACCTGCTGGTGGCAAAATGCTATTGTCTGTATGCAACCCGGTGTCTTCTCTGTTCTTCTGTCGGAGTTTGCCGAGGGAGTTGTTTCTGATTTAACTATGTCTTATTTCTCTGAGGTTATGGTGGTGGCGGGACAGGACCGGGGCGGGGAATAAGGGCTTACTGTAGCATCTCTAAGTTCCTTGGGCTCTAGGGTGGGAAGAGGGGTGATGTGTTGGTTTGCGTTTAATGTCTTATTTACAACAGTGATTGTAATGTTTTGTATTGTTGTGTAGGAAAAGTGTTATGTATGCATATTTTCAATAAAGAATTCAGGGTTTTGAAAAAAAAAAAAACAGACCTAAAATAATTTAATGGTGCAGGGCTCAGGTTTTGGACACTTACAAGATGACTGGAAAACAAACTTTTTTTTTTTTTTTGGGCTGCGTGCAAGTTGGGCGATGAAAAGTTAGCACTAAATTCAGGCCCCAGCGAAGCATTCTGGGTTGATTCTGTTCTTATTTAGATTACTGTATTAAATGATTTGATTTTGACATGTCTTGAAAGCTACATCGAGAGTCTAACAGAGAGGGGGGGGAGGGCTTTGCTTTGACACCAGCATTAGGAATAACAAAATCTGTTGACAATAAATTCCACTTATTTTTAAGTAAGTCTTGTTGTTGGCCATCCATTTTAATATAGAGTTTGCTGTTTTTTTAGGGAGAGAGGAGAAACATGAAAATGGTTTGTGTGACTATTAAGCATGTAGAAAGTAGAGATGTGTAATCAGATTTACTGGTGCTCATGATTAGGGGATGAAAGTGTTTGTGGTTAAATAAATGGAAGATCCAAAGTGAAACAATACTAACCTAAATCAGAATTTGTTTTACATTACTAAAGGTTTGCCCAACAAGCAAACTTCTCTTTTAAGTACTTAAAAATAACAAGTTGACTGTTGAAAATTTATTGAAATTGTAAATTGTTTTTTTTTTAAATCATTTCTAGATTTTTTTTTCAAAGACTAATTTTATAACAGTATAATGCTGTTATAAAATGTAAACAATCTCTAATTTAAGCATTTGTCAAATTGCGCCATCTGGTGGTATTGCAAACAACAAGGTGACCTATAAAAATGAAATGCTCTACTGACAAAAAAAATAAGAAATCTGAAACTTAAAAATAAACAACAAATAAATATTTTTAAGCTATTTAAGATGGGTATACTGACTTTGTTTATGAAGTAAATATTAATGTTACTACAGATTAAATTGAAATGAACAAGCATATAATACTAATTACATAATATGAAATAGATCAATTGGTCCAAAGTTTAATTGTGTTGAAGTAATGCATAACATGATTGTGGGTATTATGGTGTTGGCATGATTTTAAAATGTGTTAAAGGGAAAGAGGAGAAAATTGAAATATAATATGGTTGCTCAGATTTGTGAGTTCTGTAAGCCACATTTCTAGGAAGGTTATGTGAGAAACCTCTGGCTTACCAGGCTAGATGTCTAACTTTAGAAGTCATTCCAGTTTATCTTTTATCAAACTGAAACTCAAAATGCTGACTTATGAGTTCAAAGGAATGCACCAAAAGAACTAAGACTGTATTAGTTTTATTGTAATTGTATGCTGTTAGAGCCAACCAATGGATCTCACTGGTTGTTGCTCCTAAGAACTTTAACCCTGCAAGAAAAAAAAAAAAAAAACATATTTAGAGGTGTTGAGGCCTTTCCGTCTCCAACAAACATTTTACTTTTAACAACTATCTGCAATATCAAATGAGATAAACTAAAAGATAAATCGTACTATATTGTAGGTTTCTTGGGTTGTTGACTAATACTGAGTGTTTTCATGGAATATAAGGACCTAGTGGTGGGATATTTATTTGTTTTGTACCTTATGACTGATTTTATAACAGTTTCTCTTACATAATATATTTACAGAAAACATTTTGTGAAAATGTGTTGGGATACTTTAGGTATGCAGGTATTACTGTCAATGTAGCAGTATTTTTAGGACATTCATACTTTGAATTATATGATTATATTCACTGTATACCAATGTAATGCATCTTAAATGTATCTCATTGTGTCATTAATATCAATGTGCAATGTATCTTCTTTTTAGTTGGGAATGCACAGTAATTACATGATCACATGGTATTTTGAATCAGTTATGTACAAAACTTAAAAAAAAAAAAAAACTCTTAACCTTTTTGGGTGGGCCTTAGCCCCCAGGTTTTAAAGTCTTAACATCGCCTCTGAATGTTTGGTTTGTTTTGCTGGCAAATGGGAGGAGCTGTATGCTGACGTCATTATACCCCGCCCCCTGTCTGGTGTCAACGCAGACAGCAGAGCACCGGGGAGGACACCGAGAGACCGACCGCATAGACAGGTTCACCGGGCAGCCATGGCGGCGCCGTTAGCCCACTTCGATGAGGACTGGCAGGACTTCAACGAATTCAAACCGTCCTCGGAGTCGGCCGAACAGCTGGACCAGCTGAACTCAAACGTTGGCGACCCATCGGGCCTAGACGACTTCTCCGATCTGGACAACAGTTTCTCCGGGGAGATCTGTAGCTTCAAGTCGATGGAGGACCTGGTCCACGACTTCGACGAAAAGCTAACCGTGTGTTTCCGAAACTACAACACTACGACGGAAAACATTGCTCCCATAAAACCAATCACAGAGGAGAATTACCTGAAAGACGACGAGTGAGTGTTAATTATCTGTCTATGCTTTTTATGTTGTAACTTTTAATCTCACAGCTAACCACATTAGCCTCACAAGCTAACTCTACAATAAATTCATATATTACTCACTGAGGGAATCTTAGCTGTCTGGAATACAGCCGGTCAGTGCAGTGGAAAAACTGGTTTCACGGTTCACTTTCTGCTTCTTTGTGGCAAGATTTGATTAAACGCCGAGAAGAAGGCACATCATCCACAAACAGTATTTAAAATTTAAATGTTTCCCTTAAGGTCATAGGCAGCATTTCTCAAAGTTAAGAGAAGACACCCCACTGAGTAAAAAGTAGGAATGGAAATGTGTTTTTTTTGTTGTTTTTGTTTGCATCTTGTTATTGCAGTTTTGAAATCATGAACAGTTATTACAGGAGGTACATTTTCAAAAAAGTTGTATTTGAAAGCAAACTACTCTTTCTAAAGGGGGGGAAAACCTTTAAAAATAACTGACATGTTGCCTTAAATTTAAAGCTGAAATTTTGGAGTAATTCGTATCATTTAGTTTGCATTGGAACTTGTTAAAAATTGTAAGGCCAAAATACAAAAAGGAAAATAAATTATTTATTTTTGTGATTATTGGTCCGTATTATTATTATTATTATTATTACTGCGTCATTACAGAACTTCCTGCCAGTTGAATATAATTGAAATTATAGTCAACAAAACTAAAATACTGAATTTAAATTTTATAAAAAGTAACAGCAGTCCCTTCCCTAACACCTTTATTGCTACAAAGGAAAACAAAACAGACAAAAAAACAACAACAAAAAAACACAGTAAACAGTTTTTTACAATGCAAATGACAAAATTGGTGCAGTTAATTTTGAGGAGAGGATTCATTTTAAGAAAAGTAATCAAGAATGCAATATATTTTTAAATCTAAAAACGGAAATGTTTGTTCAACCGGGTTTAAGACGGAAGCAGCCTATTCTTCCACAACAAAACTATCGACTCGTGCCGTTTAATGCGGTGGAGATGGTTACATTTTCCTTTTACACAATCCCTAAAATTATTCCCAACAATAGATCCTCTGCCTTGAACATGAACAAATGTACGATTTCAATGTCTTTGGGAGCATTTATTACATAAACCAGTTAAATCTGGTCTACATTTGCTGCAATAAACTCTATAAAGTATTTTATTTTTATTTTTTGCACAAGATGAGCATCTGTTCTGATTCTAAGCATACTGGAGGCCTCTTTGGAACTGAAAGAATGGGAAGGAAATAACAGGAGTAAAACAAAAATCTGCATTCTTTGACCATTTATAGATATAAAATAGTCAATTCTACAGGTGAAGCAAAGAGGTGTTAGTTTGAAGAAATTCAAGTCAGACTCTTCCTTGCAGTTTGTCTACAAATGACAGAATCAAGAAAATCCGAAAACGAACTTGAAATGCAACTACCGGATGATGACTAAAACATTAATGCTTTCAGATGCCGTTTGTATTTTTTATCATTGAACCCGTCGAAAACAATGTTGAACACTAAATATGAGCAAAATTATAAAAGAAATCAAAATCCCCCAGCGAAGCCTGCCTCACCTAGACTTCCACTGGCTTTTCCTCCAGCCAGACTCGCTGTGCTGAATCGCATCCATGGAGGTATTACGGAAAGATTTGAGCTGTCGGGGTCCGTTTGGATCCTGCTCCGAGGTGTCTGGCAGTTGCTGGGTCTCATTGACACTCAAAGGTCACAGCTACGCATCCACATGACAACATGGCATTACAGCGCCGCGGGAGTCGATGTTGCTTTTCTCTGCACAGCTGGCTGCATGAGTCAACCTCCTCTCGCCCTTTGCATTGAACACTATGAGACTCTTTGATTTGGCCACTTAGCGTGGGCAATATGTAAGCTCATACTCACAGTGTGTTACATTTTATTTGAAACTTAGAACCGGTGTCGACTTCTTAACAATAAATGTGGAAATCAACTTTAATCTACATGTTGTTTAAAAGCCTAAAAAAAAATAAAAATAAAAAAAGCTGTAGATGTGTTTGAATTTAGTTTTTTATCCCAAGTATTGACAGAAAATCCTTTTTTTTTTTTTTTACTATATCTTATTAGATCCCATTCAAGTTGAAGCAGTGTGTATTTCTTCAGACTAGAAAGCGTTTTTGCTATTGGCAAAGATTTTTTTTTTTGGTACCAATAAAATTACAGAGTGATTAATGCGTCATATTTTACAAATTTAAGCCAAACTACCCATGTACAGCTTTTCTGCAAATATAATAAGTTTAAAAAAAATATTGAAGTTTAGGTAAATATATTTTGATGAGTTTAGACTGGTGTTTTTATTTTATTTTATTTTTTAAGGGATAAACGGGACGTAGGGAATGAAATAATTGGACGGCAGCCTTCCACGGCCCTAAAGTCAGCGCCAGACTCAGTAAGAGTCTTTTCTGGATGGCTGCACTTCTACAGAACGTGCCCATCTCCTTAACAAGCTCCACTGAAATACTGTGTCCGAAACAAACCTGCAGGCTAACAAGGATGAAGTTTACGTTTACGGACCTTCCTTTGGGATCAGCTGCTGCTATTCTGGAGCCAAGTCCTCCAGATTTTGCCTGCGTACAAAAGATGCTATAGGTACACATAAATTCGAGCGAGTTCCCCAACACTAACGAGTGGTGAGTTGGAGTCACAACAATTAAATAATCTTTCTGCAGCGCCGCTGTCAAATCGCTGTTTCGAGACGGTAGCCGGCGGTGTGTTTAGGCGGGCGTTCACGTTCCCAAGACGCTGTCACCGCTCGGGGCGCGCGGCGTTTCCTGCCGCGCTTCGTCCTATTTAGAACAAGCCAGCAGCTCGCCGAGCAGCGCACGAGCACTTCAGGGAGAAACATGGATGTTATATAAACATTTGTCCTGGACATTGTAGCGCAACTGTGACACATGGGTTCACAGCACCCATCCATGCACAATCGGAGCCAAAAGTGTCAAAACACACTTGCACGAGCACGTGAGTCCCAGTGCAGGTTTTCTTCAGAGTTTCCATGCAAGTCTGGAAAACGATGGGGGGGAAAAAAAAAAAAAAAAAAAGATCATCTGTAACGAAAAAAAAATATTGAGTTGTGTTTGTAGAAGAAAGAGTGGCATACATGCTTATATGAGAGGAAAAAAAGCTAAAACTAAACAATCTTTAGATATTATCTCAAACTTTATTCTATGGAAGGCCCAAAATATCAGCATTAACAATAACATCGGTGTTGACTGTTGCTAGCCATTTTTTTTTAAGTATCGTATTGTTCCTCTAAGTGAAACCGGATCAATTCTTTTTGCCCAACTTATGAGCACATAAAAATAATGGTTGTCAACCATAACAGCGCTATAAATGTCGGTATTGTCCCAAAATTTTCACATGGGCGCCTCATCGCTTATTTAATCACTCTTGTTGTTCTTCGTCAGTGGTGAACAACAGGATATTTTGAGTTTCTCTCTGTTCCCACATGGGGTTACCTAGGTGACAGTTTCTAACAACGCGCCACCTAACAACACAGTTTTTAGCATTCATCATCAACTTCTTATCGTCTTTACAAACGACTGTCTGGCTTGGCACATTTGGCTGTGGAAAGGTTTTCAGTAAACACTCGCCTCCCTTTTCCTGACCGTCTTTGCTTAGCAGAGCAAGGACTCGCACTCCGATCATTTATTCCTGCGGTTCCAGTTATTCATGTGCCGACTAAGCTTAGAGAAAATGTTCTCCTGCTTCGTAAAGTTCATAGAGGCTCGCTTGTTTAAGTGTTGCAATACTCGATGACTAGTTTTGAAGCGTCATGCAGCAGTGTTCAGAACTCAGGTTGCTCTTATACTGCTGTAAGTCTGAGGCAGAGATGAGCCTCAGCTGAGCGACTTGCATCAGACAGACGCAGCGGAGCAGCAGCCAATAGGGTCTGATTTTGAATGCAAATGAAGGTTTGAAAGCTGAAAACGCCTATGTTGTCGAATTCCTTCACTGTGATTTCCACGTTGCTGAAACTACTGCTAAAGACGCACATCTCGAAGGTCGATCCTTTTGTTCCTCTCTGATCTAGTTGCAGCAACGTAGTGAGGGGGGGACATAGCATTCTGCCATGCAATGCTGTGTCACGATAAAAAAAGAGAAGGAAGTGCGCCTCCTCTCTGCAGCTTAAAAAAAAAAGTCTCCTTTGTTGTGCTTTGACCTTTAACTCTTCTTTTATTCGTCCTTTCAGGGTGTGGAACTCTTTGACCAATAACTACGGCAATGTGATGCCCGTGGACTGGAAGACGTCCTACACTCGCTCCCTGCACCTGCCTGCCCTCAAGCTCAAAGATCAAGAGGTATCACACGCACGCAGACACACACACACACACACTCACTCTTTTATTTAGTGTTTCAGTTTCTGCAGATTGCTGCAAATGATGCCTAACAAATGCAGAGAATTGGCACCTAATTGACCTAATTAAAGAAATTAATTTCAGTAAGTCACTCGCCTTGTTATTGTGCATCTCGAATCACTTAATTTGCAATTTGATTCAAAGTGTGACAAAGGGCAAAAACAAGAAAAAAAAAAAACACACACAGAGACTAAGTTGAATTTACTGAACTAATTACCTTAATAAATTAACCTTTCGCAAACAGTTCCTGTATTTTAGAGGAACAACTTTCAGAATAAAATATTCGAGTGGAACATGTTCTAAATAAAAGCACTAAGGACCTTGCAATCAAACAGATTGAGTTTTATTGATGGAAAGAGGTGAAAACAGATCGATCTGGTTTTAATCCCCAAAGCTGCACTTTTTCTCAGCTGCTGGCATCTTGCTCACTGTCTATTCATCTTTATGTCCCCATTACTAACTACTCTGAAACGGTCTTTTATTCTGGTGAGCCTACCTCGACTGCATTTTTCTGGCCTAGAAGCCTGTCTGTTCTTTTCCACTTTTCGTCATATTGTGGCAAAGTGGCACAAAAGTCTCATAAGTTTCCATTCTTGTCAACAAAGAAATAAAAAGAAACCTTGAATCCAACAGTTCTGATGTAAACCTTTCATTGTCCAGGTTTTTCTTTGGATTTAAAATCCGGTTTAAAGCCTTTTCGGATAAAATATCGTACGCCTAAATTTCTGCCCCCCATCTCCTCCTCCTCCCAAGGGACAGAAGATGGACAAGCAGTCTTTGGATCTGTCCGATGATGAGGACGAGGAGCTGCGGGAACAGCTGGATATGCACTCAATCATTGTCTCCTGCATTAACGAGGAGCCTCTCTTCACCGCTGAACAGGTAACTCTTTCACACTCAAAATAAATAGAAATTGGGTTTAAAATATTTCTCTCTATAAAAATGGAATTAATTTAAATTGTTTGGGGATTTTCTGAGCACATAAATCTTTAATGAAAATATTTCAGCACAAATTAAACAAACAAAAAAAACAATGAACTGACAGCAGAAAATCCTTACTTTCTGTATGTTTTAATATATAAGCCTGTCAGCTTATGAGCTACTTCCTTAAATTAGATTTACGTGCTTACTATACCAAACACGGAAGCAAGATGTGTTTAGAGAGTTTTGTTATGGATGTGGAAATAAATATTATGGGACAGGTTATTGTTTTGGATTCATACAAATACATATGTCACACCCAGAATCAACATACAATGTGGTTAAATAATAAACATGCTGACCTCACTAGGATCTCCTTACTGAAAATGTTCAAAAGACCCACATGTAGAATTTATCTGGAAAAGTTTACTTTAGGGGAAGCTAAGTGTGCTAAACCTTTTCAAAGTTAGCTGAAGCGCAAGACGAATAATTAGCTCCGACGTTGGTGTCATTTCTGTGCTGAAAAACTCGACCTGATGTTTCTCACACAAGAATCGGATGCTACGAGACATGCATTCTGGTTACAAAACTACATTTTTGAGCAAATGGTCAAACTGTAGTTGATGGAGGTTTGCCATCTGGCTGAAAGTTGTGGTTGTGTTTAGGTGATAGAGGAGATCGAAGAGATGATGCAGGAGTCTCCAGACCCGGACGATGACGAGAGTCCTTCCCAGTCCGACTTGTCGATGCTCTCCCAGGACCTCGGCGCTTTGAAACGATCCGGCTCCAACACTAGCTTTGACGAACGTGAGTGTACCTGCTCTGACACACACACACACACACACACACACACAGGAGTAGAAAACTCCTGTAGTGTTTTAATGTGCCCGTGTGAGCAATTTTATGATTATCTAAATAACTAAATTAATTCTAATAGGACTCTCTGTGTAGCAAATGTGTTGTGCACATTAAATGTGCACATGTAATATAGTTATGTAATCATCGTACATGTCGTTCCAAATGTTATGTAATCGGCTTGATATGCACGTCACTGTAAATGTTCTAAAATTGGATGGGTGTGAAATTACCATTTTTTTAAAAAACAGTTTTTTTTTGGTTTTCGTTACGGTTCGACCTGCACCGAGCGTCTTCTCCACATTACATCTGCTCTTCCCGTTTCCGCCCGCGTTCTGGTCTGCAGGGCTTCGTCAGCTGTCTGTGTCGGAGCTCAGCCGGACCCTGGAGGAGGTGGAGGCGGCCATCCGCCGCTACAGCGAGGAGCTGATCCAAGCCCTGGCGCTGCGAGACGAGCTGGACTTTGAGAAGGAGGTACTGAAATCTGATCGCGCATTAACTCCAAAATCAGACCGACCAGAAACGGTTGCAGAGATGTTGCTAAAGCAGAGCAGCTTTGAAGCAAGTAACACACACACACACACACACACACACGCGCGCGCGCGCATGCACGTTGTGTTTGGTGAGAACAGACGGCAGCACCCTCTGCCTTCTGTCGCCATGAGGTCAGAACTGCCAGCAGCTTTATTTGTACGTTTGTCTCTGTGTCATGATTCACTCCGAGTAGATCGGACAGAATCTATAAAAAAAAAAAAAAACACATTTGAGTGATATTTGTACAGATCACAAGGATACTGAGAATATTAAATTATTAGATTTATCATCTGCAGCCTCAAAAAAACCATTCAGATGTACCTTTATCATAAGCAGCTCACTACTGTAAATGTATTAGTTTTGAAGTACGAATCCTTTTGGTTCACACTGTAATTCTCCTTTATCTTGTGAATTTTTTTTGTGCTTTTTTTTTAGTCAATTCTGTTAATCGAAGTAAAAGTTCTGAAAACTAACTAACTGATATAATCGGTCAGTTTCGTTCCTCCAGCTTTGTGTTTTCCAGACCCCTGCCGCAGTTAAATGAAAATGTTGCGTGTGTGCAGGTGAAGAACAGCTTTATTTCGCTGCTGATCGACGTGCAGAACAAACAGAAGGAGCACCGCGAACTGCTGCGCAAGAAGAAGAAGATCCGGTGTACGACCACGACGGGGCCCAACGGCCAGAGGACAAACAGCACACACATACCAGGCACGGTGAGTCAGCAGGGGAGGTAGTCGCAGAAAACGCACAAAATAAACACATCGTCATGGTTTGAAGGTTAACAACATAGCCACACGTGTGACGCAACACGCACTACTTCCAAGTTCGGAAAAGAGACGCATGACCCGGCCGGAGAGCTTTCACTGTAGTCGCCCTCTTATCAGCGCCTTTCCTTCCTGTCGTAGAGAGCCTCCTCATCTTGCGTCAAATCTCTTTTTTTTTTTTTTTTCCTCCTTCCTTCCTCTCACTCCCTGTAGCTCCTCACTCTGGAGGGACTCTCCAATGTCATTCAAAATGGTCTCCGTCAAACTTTTGGCCACTCTGGAGGGGATAAACAGGTGCCCCCTGCTCTTTCTTCCAACTGCGGATTCTTTTCTGTGCTGCTTTTTCACCTCTGGGTTTCAAATGGCATGCGCATTCTTTTTTTATGTTTTTGCTCCATAACTTTTGTTCAGTTTGTCCATTCGTTGCATTTAATTTTTGTCTTCCCCCCGCCCCCTTTTTTTTATTATTATTAAATTCCTTATAGTTCCTTGCAAAAGTGTTGGTACTCCCTGAACTTTTCGTATTTTGTCTCGTTACAGACACAAACTTCAATGAGAACATTAGTGAACAAACTAAGGGACACAGCTGAGAGGTCAGGGGTGAATTTGTGGCGAAATTTAAAGAGTTGAAGAGGTTTTTTTTTTTTTTTTTAACAAGATCAGATTGTCTTAAATATATGGCTAAAGTAATGCGTCTACCCATGTATATTATGCACTACTTTGTTTTAGTCCGCTGCATAAAATCCAGATGTATCACGTTAAAGTTTGTGGTTGCATTGGGACGAAATACAATCACCCAGTCATTCTTTTTTTTTTTTGTATTGAAATATTTTTTGCCCTCCTTTATTTTTTGCATGTTTCCTAACTTTAACATAACACTTAATTCCAAAATTACACTGAAGATAAATTTAATTAGTTGGTGTATTTTTTTTTATAGGTTCCCATGCAAATTTGTAATATTTATATACATATATATTATATTTATTTTTAGTATCTGACCACGGTGATCCCCTATGAAAAGAAAGCAGGCTCTCCTTCTGTAGAAGACCTCCAGATCCTCACAAAGAGTGAGTCCATGAACAAGAACGCACAAGTTCACCAAGCGGTGAACCAGTGTGGAACAGAGACGTGTCGTTAGTTAGATTTTGTTTTCGTCCCTGACTCATCTATCCTTCTCTTTCCATATCAGTCCTTCATGCCATGAGGGACGACAGCGAGAAGGTACCGGCCCTCCTAACAGATTACATACTGAAAGGTAAACATGACTTTTACTTTAAGGCTTTTGCCCAAGCAAGGCAGCAAGGTCAAGTAAAAATATGTTGTAATAACTTCAGTAATATGCTTTTTTTTTTTTTTTTTTTTTAAACTGTAAAACCATAAGACTAATTCGTACTTAATCAGTCACATGTACCTACGAAATATAAAAGTTAAAAGTCTTGACTTCCATCCAGAAGCGTCTTAGTTCACTGTTTGATAGATTTGCACTAAAGAAGTAATAAGTCTCAACAGAAGTGTTGACATGATGCCTCACTCTGCGGTCACACCCGATGACCAGTCACACTGATTCCAGATGCAGTTAAAGTCTGAACACAGAAAGTGGAATCATAACAAAGAGGAACTGCTGTGCATTTAGCTGCATAAACAAGCAAAAGGTTACAGTACAACTTACAGTAAAGAGAGGAAGCTAAATTTGTCACAGTAAAAACACCAAGATGTCCAGGACCAGAAATGTGGGTTTGTTGTTAAATTTGTAGGGCCAAAATCATTTTTATTGATGACATTTCAAAATATGAAAAAAAAAACCAAACAACAAAAAACACGAGTAGTCTTTTTTAAATCTGTATGGGGTTAGGGAAAACTGATGTTTTACCAGTTTTTTTTTTTTTTTTTATAATCATGATGAGTTTCTGCTAACAGTGAATGAAAGCACATTTAAAACTTAGACTCTTAAATCAGACTAATTAAAGCTCAAGCCTAACATGAGGCTGCTCCCTCTCTGGTTTTATGTGACTTATTGATAATTTGGCTCAAAACTTACTCCAGTCTGTTCTAGTCATTCATGTGTGGGGGGAAAAAAAAAAAAAAAAAAAAAAAAAGAAAAAAAAGTTGGTCTCCTGCTTCATAAGAAGCTCCCCTCCTTGCTTTTGAACGTCATAAAATTCAGTGACCAGCGATTCGGCTGCTTTTCTCCCACGACACTCCCAGCCCGATTTAAAAACCGTGAGCTTTAACGGTGAATGTGTCTGTTGTTGACATGTACCTTCCTTTCCCTCTCGCCTGTGCTGCTCTGTCCTTCGGGTAGCTCTCGTATGAAAGCGGAGGAACCTGAGGTTCGTGAGGCTGACCCCGCTCATTGACATCGAATGCCTCATCTTCCTCCCTGTCTGCACAACATTCCCTTTTTAACCAGAGCAATCGGCCTCCCTCCCCCTCCGTCGCTCTCTGCCGTGGTGCCAGTTGTGCTGTATGGTGCTTCTAGTCGTGCTACACCCACTCTGGAAAAACACAGCCCACTCACGCTCGTAATTTCTCCTCACTCTGCCAGCTTGTAGTAGCAGCTGTTGGTGTGTTTGCTTCTCACCTGTAATCGGGGCGGCTTTCCTCGCCTCTAACCACACATTCCTCCCGGCTGTAGCTGCTCTGTCATACTCCACACACCTCTTCTTCCTCGTGTGCTGCAGCGATTCTCACCAGCTGTTTATTTATTTTATTTTTTTTCTCCGCAGTTCTTTGTCCCACGTAAAGTCAGACGGGAAGCTTTTGTTTCTTCAGCGTCGACCAGCAGAGGAGGGTTTCAGTTTTGAAAAAAAAAAAAAAAAAAAACCTGCAGGAACTGATTTAAATCCAAACCTTCCTTCATTTTTTTTTTCTTCTCAGTTTTCCTCGTGGTACTTTCTGCTCTGCCTCTCTCCTCGTATTCTTTACTTTTGATACGACTCTTAGTCTTTTGTAGTTGTTTTTAAGTTCTAATATTTAGCTATTTTTTTTGTTTTTTATTCATTCAGCGCTCCATTTTTTCGTATTGTGACTTTACACAGGTGCATCTCAATAATTGATACTAAAGTGAACTTTTTGGTGATGCAAGTCGATGCCAATGAGAAGCTCATTTCATATGAATTCACTACACACAGAATGATACATTTCAGTTGTTTGTTTCTGTTAGTTTTCGATGATTATGGCTTACAACTTATGCAAAAACCAAATTTGCCCTCCATCTAATGAGTAAGCCACAAAATGGCATTGCTAAAGAAGTTTGCTGTTCAGAGTTTTGAATCGAAGCGTATTAAGAGAAGGTTGAGTGGAAGGAAAAAGTGGAGCAGTAAGAAGGTCCACAAGCAATAAGTAAATTGGTACTACCTTGGTGATAATCCTCTTATTTCAGTCTTAAATAATATTTTAATGTCCTGTGAAATTAATTTGGGGTTTTCAGCAACAATCATCCAAACTGCCATGAATAAACATTTGAAACATATCAACTCAACGTTAAAAATTCATATCCGGCATTTTCTTTTTTTCTTAAGCTGAACTGCTGAAATGAGCTTTTTGATGATACTCGAGCATATTGAGATGCACCTGTAACTTCTCATGTGTGGATGCCAGTAATCAGTGTTAGCCTGAACACCTCACTTCCTGATTAGCTAGGTGCTTTTGGAGAAAAACAAACGATCCTTAAAAGTGTTTTCTTTTTTTGTTTTTTAAACCGCTGAAATCCATCAGCAGGCCTCTGCAAGGGAAACGCAGTCCAAACAGCCTGCTTTGATTATCAAATCCACTTTCCCTCAGCTGCCTGGCGGGGAAAACAAATCCTGGTGTGATCTGTGGAAAAAGTGCCAGGCAAGTCGAAGGCATCAAGCATCGATTATCCTCGTGAATAATCGACGATTTGTTGTTTTTTTGCAACAAACTTTTTTGTTGCAAAAGTTTTTGCAACAAAAACTTTAAAACTTTTTGTTGCATGTTAGTTTCAGGTACGAGCTGCGCGAAGCTGAATGTTTAAAATGAGACGTTTTCCACACGACTGAGAGGGATTTGCACAGTTTGCAAAAGGGACAAAAAAAAAAATGATCAAAGTCGTGAAAAAAAATATTTTTGGATAAGAGATTTTTTTTTTAATTATTATTAGCAAGATAATGGATTTGAATGATTTTTCTAGATGTTGTGACGTCAACCCCAACAAATTCACCACTTCCACATAGGATTAGTTCACCAGTCTGCAGATTCCTCCTGCTTCATATGTGCATTGGTGGGAAATAATGTATTATTATTAATTAAGTTTACGTCGGCGTTAATCGTTGTTCCGTCGCGTGAGTTATCTGTGTTTTAGGACATTGGCTTTAAGGACAGAAGGGTTGCACTTTATCAGTGACCTGATGGTGTAAAGGTGGAGCTCTGCAGAATGTAGCACAGAGTGGATCTCGTCAGCAAATGGTGAAAGATTTGGTCAAAATGGAATCATTTTTAAATTCCTCTGGTTTTACCAAGAGAAACATTAGTGAACAACATTTCCGCTCATGACGGAAATGATTTGAGGAGTTTCTGTGATTATAATTAACGTTACCGGACTAAACATTTAAAAGATTCAGTGAGGAAATTGGAAATCCTTCACTGAAAGGCTGTAGACTGTAATAGTCTAAAAATGTATGTAACTTGGTTAAAGATTGTGAAGGTCGGGTAGTTGTGGCTGATAGATTTTTTTTTTTTTATGTTTAGTTGAATGTGAAAGTATCCTATGATAGTTTAAGTGCATTTTAACATCTATATATAAAATCCTAGTTTTATTGTCTTTTTTTTTTTTTAGAATTCTAGTTTTACGCTTTTCATATCCAGTCAGAATTTGCATGCTGCCTGAAATGTTGGCCGTGAAGTGAATTGGGGTGAAACATTAAAAACAGCTAAAACGTGAACAAAATATTTTACTAGCAGCTGCCTAGCTTTCCTATGCCGACTATGAAGCGAATAGAGCGAAATCAAAGCCGCGAGTCCTGCAGGGAATCGCCGGTGTGTGACCACAGATGAAGTTGGTATGCAAACATTCAGGTCAGGTGTTGCTTAGGTCTCAGGTACAGTCGTCAGTGTCGGTACTTTAACGTTCTTGTTCTGGTAGATAAAACATTCCCAACTCAGTTTACATGTCTAGTCTTGTCAGAGGGTTCCTATAAGGACTTGATTCACGTCACCTGTCTGATAATGATAAAACATGATCAAAGACGAGAAGCTCCTTGTGTAATGGCTCAGGTGGTGTTGGCGCTGCGTCTGTGTCTGCTTCAGTGTAGCGATGGTAGATATGTCACCAAAGTCGATTGCACTACATATTGCTGCCCATACTTTCTGAAACTCTCTCGGACAATGCCAGGTACTTTCCGAAGCTCTTCAGGAACTTGGTGGGTATATTCAGGAACTTAGCAGTTACTTTGCCAAAACTTTAATGGAGCTCGCTGGTTACCTTCCCGGATCTTACTGAGTATTTTCCTTGAACTTACTGGATGCTTTCTGGATCTTGAAAGATATTTTCCTGAAGCTTTATGGGAACTTTCTGGTTACGTCCCAGAAACGTTCTGGTTACTTCCCAGAAACTTTCTGGTTACTTTCCAGGACCTTGCATGAAAATAACTACTAAGCTCTCTGAAAGTTTCAGAAAAGTAAACCTTTAAGTCCCAGGAAGGCACTGGTAAATTATAAGCCACGTCATAATACAGCCCAATTATTGAAAGTACCCAGTCAGTTCTGGGAAAGTAACCAACAAATCCCATTCTGAAAACAAACCATTAAGTTCTTTGGAAAATATGGGCTGTATTGTGAAGTGCTTCCGGATTGGGAGACTCCAAGAAGGAAAATGCTTCTGTAGGTGGAGTGGGTGTTGGGGATGATTGCACATCGATTTGCAAAAAAAAGTATGTTTTTTTTTTTGTTTCTATTGTTTCAAAACAATATATATATATATATATATATATATTTAAATATTTGTATGTGACGTTTCTACAGATGCCAGCTATTTTCAACCCAGCATGTGCTGCATGCACTTTACTGCTGCTGCAGAAAACACATTTCCAATGATTAGTGATTTGTTTACAGACATATTTAAATATCACACTAAAAGGGAAAAGTGCATGTTGCAGCAATATCAAGAAAACTGGAAAGGAAACAAGCATTTAATATTTTTAAAAGCTTAAAGGGGTTTTGTAATGTCTATTGAATCAAACGCGTTAAAGAAAAATGTTTGTGAATCTTATCAGCAATGGTTTAAAAATGAAATGACTTTCGGCTCTCGTGTCACTGAAGGATCTCTGGCCATTTTAACAAACATATCAGTCTAACTCCAGGTTAGAGATTTATATTTATACATGACGAACAAGTAAAAAAAAACAAGAGGCTGCCTTTGTTAAATGCCTGAAAAAATATTTTGTACATTTATTAAACTCGTGTACCTAATGCAATTTATTTCCCTCTCTAGGGGGGTTTCATGTTTACTGTCTCATGTGGTACTGCAGTATAGTAATTTATTATGTGAATGTTTTGTAACCATGATCTCGACTGTAATGGTGCAAGTGTTTTGTGCCCACATTATTGCATTGTGACACATTTCAAATAAAAATAAATTACATATTTAAATATTTTGGCTCGTATGATTTACTTCGTGAGACATCCTTTGTCTAATTTTATTACATGTATTCATATATCTATACACGCATTGTGTTTTGTATTCAAATAAACCCGCAGTTAGCAACTATGATTTCGTGAATCGAATTCAAAATGACTTAATTCGTCAGAGTTATTGTAGATGGTGACGGCTGTTGGCGGGAAAGATCTCGTGTAGCGGCCTGCATCACAGCAAATTTGAAGAAGCCTCTGACTGAAGACGCATTGTTTTCCAAAAACAATTTCATAAAGAGGATGGTTAGGGTTGTCCATAACTTTCTTGATTTTTACAAAGAATCCACCATCATCTCCAGAGGTTCCACAGTCGTCCCCAGAGAAGAATCGGCTCTGATGCTACTGTACCAAGAGACGGCGGCAGAAGAGATGACACTCAGTTACAGACTTAAGAGAAGATCTGCAGCATCTTGCTGCCGACCTTGAAGGACCTTATGGCTTCCTGAAGGAATACATCCTGCTCCGTCCTTTCTTATAGACCGCTTCACTGTTGCGTCTCCGGTCCGGTCCAGTCTGTTTAACCAGTTTTTGGTAAAATTGTTATTCCAGAAGCAACAATGTAGTAAAGTTTTTTTATATGTATATATACATACATAATTACGTCTCACTCTTTAGTCCAACCTTATTGGAATTTGACTTAATCTTAATGTTGACCTGGGTCTGACGCTTACACTTTTTCACGGAGAAGCAGCAAACAGTCGCTTTAGCGAAACCTCTTTCGCCTGATTATTCTAAAGATGGTACACAGTCGCCCTCTAGTGGTAAGCAAAGAATCACAACTGACATGTCATCCAGTTTAGTAAGCTTTTTTTTTTTTTGAGAGATAACGTAAATTATCTGACATTTACGAGTTATGTCAGTCATGATGTCCAAATACAGAATGATAACAAAATCTACAAATAACATTTCCTGCCCTGTGGAGATTTCAACATCTGTGATCATTTTGGGTAAAGATGGGTGTAAATCCATCAAATCATCATTTTCTGCTTCATTATTAGCTGTAATGCAATACTCAACAGTTCAGCTTCAGCGGTTTTTTTGTAATTTGGGTAATTTATTCTCAAAGTTGCTTGACACACCCTGTGTCAAGCATGTCCCCAAAGTACATTATTTAATACCAAGGCCAAATTACCTCACAAACTGTTCAAAATA